ATTCAGTGGAGCTGCTCAAAAAATGATCACTCGTGTTAAGCCTCGAACGCAGGATCAGATGTTACAGGGGCTTAAACTTAGCGATCGGCACCTTGTCCAGCTTTTAGGATCAAATTGAGAACATGGACAATGGGCACAGAATTGGTATGCCACCAGGCGTTGTTAGAAAATGTAGTTTTCAATCATGTTGTATAATCAAGACCAAAGAGAACGTCCCTTTGATAACAACATCACGTTTTGGTAGAGACTTGTACACACGTCTTTTGAGTCTGGAGCTTTACAACAGTGACGCTTAAGCAGTTTCAGTACTTTTCTCGTCAATCGGCATGCTCAGAATCTTTTACCAATGGAGTTCAGGGTTCTGTAATCTTTGTAAGGTGCAGTAAGCACGAGTTTTCGAATCCTGCAAAGGAATTCAAAGTTAAGCATGATAGTGGTCTGGTGGACAAGCTCCTATTTCCAGATCTAGCTAAACAGTAAGTACTACCGTCTGAAAAAATGGTTGTGGAGTACACCGCAGCAGAGCACTAATCAACAAACGCTGAATTGAGGGTGATTAGATCTAGAACGCTCCGAGTGACATTCACTACTCCTACATGGGTCCATCTATACATGAGACAGGCAACAGTGTAGATTTGAGTCACAACCAATGTTTTACAAATTCTAGCTGTTGCACTGCGGCTTTCAAGCTGATGCCTCGGCCGACAGCCATTTTACATTGCTCAGCGATGACTGTTAGCAGGCTGTCCTGTAGGAAGTTCTTTTCAACATCTTGTTGCTGTCCGTGGCTTTATGCTTCGAGCTGATCTTGCTGGAAATTAAGCGTTCCAACTCCAGCTGATTTTAGAGTACATGTGGGTTTTGCATGCCTTGAAAAGGAGTTTCGACTAATATTCACAAGGCAACAATGTTAGCAAAGCATGTTGAAGATCATACCTATAGAAGCTCTTGGATTGAAGTAAACTATAGTTACATAGAAACATTATTTAGCTTTGAGTCAAATTCTAAGTGGTGAATGCAATATGAGCATTACAAGAACATTATATTGGCAAAAGCAATGGATTTTCTTAAAGATTTTAATCACCATTTGAAATTATAAAGTTTGTATTTGTGATGTTGTAATTTGAATATAATCTACATTATATATAACAATTAAAAAACTATGTAACACTAAATTAAAAATTATATAAGACAATTCAAAAGAATATAAATGAAGCAATAACAAATTGACATTAAGATTGTTAATTTTTTATTGCATTGGAAGTCAATTGTGGTTACTAAAATTGAGTTATAATAGTTTATCCTACATGAATTACTAAGATTCTTTAATAATATATAGAAAACCATCTAAACTTCAAATAGTATATGTATATATATATATATATATATATGATATTACTAATGTCACCATAGTTTTTGCTACTACTACTACAACCTACCATCTATCACATGGCACCTTTGTTTAATACTTTTAAACCAATAAATTTCTTTATTTAATACCTTTTAAATCATTTGATTGAACATAATTCTTCATTCAAATGATGAAAAACTAAAAAAAAATATTAAGTAAGTATCAAGTTGTAGTGGCAATAGCAAAAATTTTGGTAGTCTTAGAAATATCTTATGAATATTAGAATATTTTTATGTTTCCTTTTAGAACAATAAATGCATTTTTATGGCTCTTTTAAATGACTATTATGAAAATATAGAGTAGAATATAATTTCTAATAAAGGTTAATTTTCTTATAAAATTAACATATATATTAGTTTTAAAAAAGAGTTTTTATAGAAAAAATTGGATTATTATTAAAAATAATTAGCATTCATCACCTTATGTTATATTTTATTTTTACAAAAGTACATTATTTTTTGTTAGTTTTTATTATTTTATTTATTGTTATAGGAATTATATGCATGCTTGCATAAGTTGATAATTTTTCAACTTTAAATCCAATTTAGCATTTCTAATTCAATAGATAGATTTAAGATATTTTTAAGCCTATCTAAAATTTCTACAAAAAAAACATCATTTTTTTTTATTTTTTTTTATTTCAATATCCAAGTTTCTAATTGATAATTTATTGTAGAAAAGAGTATAAATTACTCTCGTAAGTGAAAAATTAGAATTAAAAACATAAAAATAATTAAATTTTTCTTAAAATTAATTAATTTCAGTATGAAATTGTAGCTAATATTGCAAATCATACAATTAATCAATTGTACAAAAGCATCTAATTTAATGCATACAATAATATTTTTACATTGAGATTTATTATATACTTTAGTTTTAAATCTTGTTAAATTATTTTTTAATAAAAATAATTTTAAATTCATACTTTCTTAAAAAAACCATTTATAAATTATTATCTATAATATAGGGGTTTTTTACATATAAAACTTTTCAAATCTTAAGGGTTATAATATTCTACCTTATACATGGTTGATCACCTTTAGACTACTATAATAAATAAGCAAACTAAAGAATTTTGAACTTATCTAAATTTATTATTTAAACTAAATTTAACTACAAATATTAATCTTTTTTAGATAGAAATCTAAGATGGTTTTTTTCCATCTAAATCCATGTCTATGTAATTTTATTTTAAAAAAATTATATAATAAATAAACAAGGCATAGAATTATAGACATGTTTAAAACAAACTATGCTTAATATAATAATATTTTTTATTTAATATTTTTTATTTTTTTAAGATTTTATTTTTAAGTTATAGTAATTTTTTTCATTAAAAAGACTTTCTAAACGTTTTTTGAAGTATTAAACTAAAATAAAAATTCTAAAGTTTTAACTTTAAGAAATTTATTAGTTATTTTTTACTAAAGAAATATAATTTATCTATTACTTAATATTCAAGTCAATTTATTGAAATGATATATTTTAATTATAATTTACTATTCTTTTTTTTAATAACATTCAATATATATATAGAGGTAATAGTAGACTTGAATGTCAACAAGTAGAGAAACATATCAATATTGAAGTTCATAGGAAGAATACTTTAGAATTTGATATAAAATCTTATATAAAAAGAATAATTAAGTTACTTTAATACTAGTTTAAACAATTGCATCTACTTCTTTTTTAAATTTTATAAAGTTAACATGTGACATATGCTTTAAATTATTTTTAAGTATTATTTTTAATTAGAATATGCTAAATTTATTTTTTTATAAGACAAATTTAAATTACATCTATTATAGAAGAAATTTGTTGTAATATGTGGTTTTAGATTTGAATATAGTTTTAAAATATATATAAATATATACATTTCAAAGATTAAATAAATATATTTTAAAGCCATGAGATTGATTTTTAGCTTTAAAAAAAATCAAAACCACAAAGTATACAGCATATCAAGTTTTTGAACATTTTAGTTGTTTGATTAATATTTTTTATTTTTTTTAATATAACTCTATATATATATATATATATATATATGTAAATTTCTAACTATACAAATTCTAGATGATATTTAAGTTGTAGCATAAAGACTATGTCTTTTATATAAGGTGTGGTAATTTGTGAAAAAAAAGATTGCATTGAAAAAATTGGCCATTAATATAAAAATGTAAATACAAATAGAGAGATATAAAACTCTTTTTTAGCATAAAGATTGTAGTATTGGAGCTTTCTATGGAAATAAAATATTTATAAGCATTGTGACAAATTCAACAAAAAAAATCATTTGAGAATACACAACAACCTCTAAGCTTGTCATAGAAGCAAAAATAATAGGAAGTATTAAAATGTCCTTTAAAACCAAAATTATTCTTTTTCTTTTTAACCAACAATAAGCTTGGAAGTTGGTTACAAGGACAAATAGGAAGATTGAAGCATTAGAAAGATATCAAAAAATAAACTTTTTCTTGTCTTCTTTTTCCATTTTTACTAAAAGTTTAAACCTTATTAGGAGAGAAGAAGAAAAAAGATGTGCATCAAAAAATGCAAAGGTAAATAAGTATATTAATGACATAATTGCAACAAAAAAGAAAATATAGTACATATTGTTGATGAAACTTGTTCAAGATAACGTATGTTATGATTTACTACTTCAGTACCTCAAAACTACACTACTATAGTTATCCAATTTTTTGCATTATGTTGTAAATAGCTTGATTTTTTTTTGATCTATTGGGTAAACTTAGACTATCATAATTTTAAAAAAATTATCCAAATTGTATTGAGTAGCCTTCATTTGGCCATTCAATTTTGCCTTGGTGGATGTATTATTGCACAAAATCTATTTAAACTAAGTTTAGGTAAAAATTGAAAAGCTCAAGATAATAATTTGTTTTATTAATCTGCCACTGAGCTAACTACAGATGCTATGCAACACAAATATTTGCTAGTCTTTTCTTTTACATGAAAAAGAATCCATCTAAGGCTTATGCAATTGTAAATGTTTAGTAGAAATCCACACTTAATTATTATATTCATATATTTAACAACCCATTTTGTATTGTAATCCACAACCCTATCCAATGTAATAGTTTTGATTTAAATCCAAAAAAATGAAATAAAACAAAAAAGAATAAATTATATTACACTCACAAATCATATGATCATATACTGGTGTACTAAATTTTATTGAAAATACTTCTTCAAATTTATCCATACTAATTTCCCACTCAATCGTTCAATTTTTGCTGTAACATATGCCACAAGAAGTGCTATACATCAATTCTTTTCAACATTGTGTTGATTTCTTAGACAGTACATTTCTTTACTTTGTTCTCCTTAATGGATCAATTTCGTTTTTTCGTAGCGACATCACGATGTTGCACAATCGTTAACGCTATAGTTGCAGGCATCACTGTCAAATTTACACACTTGCTTTGCCATACTCTAGAATAGTTAGTTTACAAGTTGAAATAGTTGCTGTCAATCCTTTTAAATAAACAGAGATAGGGTCAAGTGTTTAAATCCATATTCGAGGAGATTGAGAACGTGGATTCAGCATCATGGTTCAGACACAGTTAAATTGTAGCAATCTGATTGATTTTATCGTCATCTTAACTTCATTAGTGAAGTGGATCTTTCCCATTCACGAGTTACGCAACAAAATGATATATATTCACCCTCAAAAAAGTAGCTGCATCTTGTACTCTGAAAGGCAGCTATTGTACAGGATCAGTCAGCAGAGAGTAGGTAGGGAGAGTGAGAGAGCCGAGAATCGCTAGAATTCAAAGACTCTGCCGAGCACAAGAACACATTCTCTGTAGCTGTCTGTTGTCCTGAACAGATACATCGCTTGACCCACACCGACATCTCCGTGTTACCCACCGACGCTTTCAGAATATCCCTGCACAAAAACAAGCACATTTTCAGCACACGGAACACGATCGAGCCACCACCAATTCTCCACCCATGAGCAAAAATGGACTTCGGCACGCAAGTTTCAGGATCACTTACAAGGAAAATCGAAGGGTACAAGTATATCCGAGGTCTAGGTCTCCAGAAGACCCAAATCGGGAGGAGCGTCGCTCATGAATTGGTCGGTGGAATCCGAAAATGTGATCGTTCCTTGCAGTCTCCAGGTCAAGCTTCACGAATTACCTTCATAGTGTGGCAACAGCTAGAAACATAACGGCAGGGGCCGACTATGTACAGTACAGAGACCAAAAGTCGTATAAATTCCTACACTTAATGTTGCTCTGCTTACTAGTCTATAATCGTCTACTCTAATCAAAAGGGGAGAAATAACAAGAAGAAAAGTTGATCCCGGCTGTAGAAAAATCTACAATAGTGATTACCAGTGAACTCTCCTCCCACACGGCAATTGTAGAGAATTTGCTATTTGACTAAGGATTACTTTTTGTCCACTTACTTCAGCTTCGAGTCTAGAGTCTTAGAGATGGTCTTGTAAAAATGGATGTGAGGCTCGTGGTCCCGAATCTTTCGAGGTTTACGGACTTTGTATGTAGCGCTTGGAAGACTCTTCTCCGATAAGGCGCATTCCTGCAGCAGCTTCAAGCTTGCGTGGCTGCCGATAGTGAACTTCTGGTTGACACCGCTCGAGTCCAGAGAATGGAGAGGGGCAAGAGTCTTCTTACTGCTGGTTTTCTCTGCTGGCGTTGAATTCGCTCTCGTCATCTTGCTAAGCACAGGGACAGCTGAGAGTTTCGTCGTCGGAGCTGGCGATTGGGGTTTCGAAGGTGGCTTTGACAGGGGAGCAGATGATCTCCGGAGTTTGTTAAAGAGTTTTCCTAAGTCTCCCGTGAGACTATTGGATTCCATGATAGGCTTAAAATCCTGAGATGCAAAAAACAGTGTCTTCAAGATTTAGTTTACGAAAAGGACCTTGAAAGGTTCAATCAAGAGACATAATTCTCAACAATCAGGACAAGACGACTGTGCGGCATTCCTCGCAATGGACCCAGCACAACATCTCACATCAGTTATCACAGCGAACAGATTGTAAACACATTCAACGCAAGAAAAAACAAAGGATGAAAGTATGAATCCCGGATACACGAAGTTCACTCTACATGTTCTTCACATTGTCAGAAGACAGACCATCGAAATAAACGTAGAGACATCGAAAAACTTAGACTTAATCGTTGCGGGATGATTCAAAGGAGAGGAATCAGTCAGACGATCGAATACCTCGCCCCCTTTCTGTGAGTCGTGGACTTCGTGATTTCGGATGCCATTGCTTTTAGGCACAAAAGGTTTGGCAGTTGTGGAAGAGAATTTGTGAGTGTCTTCGGTCTTTTCCTGGGATGGAAACGCAAGGGGGCTAGAAATCATCTGAGAAATGCCATCAAACTCGCTCCCACCGCGGTACTGCTGAGAATCCCAGGACTGAGCTACCAATCCCCTGGAGCTCGATCGACCTTCTCTTGAAAGGCTGTTCTCGATTTCGGCGGACGTCATGGATGCTCTCTTTGCGATCTTAGCAACACCGCCTTGACCCTTCTTCACCTTGATGCCGTGAAGTGTGGGTTGAACGAATTTCTTGGGCATGGGCGGCGCAGACTTCCCAATCTTCGCAGAACTATCCCAACTGGGTCTCTTGGGAGGGCTTCTGCTGCGGACTTTTTGCGTCCGAAGTGGGGATTTACTGGTTTTTCGAGGTGGACTAGGCGAGTCGATCATTACCTCGTTAATAAAGGAGACACGCAGGGAACTGCCCCGGCTGGATCCCGTGGAACGACGCGACAGACTATTGTCTCGGTCGTCCAGGGTGATATCGTATCCGTTTCCGGCTGTCGGATTCGATGGTGCAATTCCATTCGCGAGGCTAATGTTATGCTGGTGGTGAGATGTTTTCGGACGATGTTCCGTTTCTGTGGCCACCGTTCCACCGTCGACAGGTTCAGCCTCGGGTTGATTCTTTACAACATCCTCAAGGCAGTCTTCATATGATCCATTCTCGCTGTCATCCTCATGCTGGTCTTCTTCAACATTTCTCTCGGGTACAGACAAGGGGACCTCATCTGTGGTATCTCTATGAGTGGGAGGGGACGAGCAGACATCGTCACTCGTCTCCACAGTAGGACTGTAACCGATGGGAAGTGTGCAGGTGCTGCCTTTCGACGGAAGGACATTGGAGGAAGTCCCGTTGTCCTTTACCGGTTTCCAAGCGCTGTAGGAAGTCCCATTCTCGTTGGCAGCAGCGACGGCGGTGGTACGCCTTGGGCTTGTCGTCTCTGCTGGCTGCCATTCTTTGAGAGAAATGCAATCGTTACCATCGTCGTCATCGTCATCGTCGTCAGCATTATCAGGCTGAGCAATCTTGAACAAGGTCTTACCGAACGGTAGAGGCTGCAGCGGCGTCAATAGCACGCTATTTCCTACCGCATTCCGCGTCGCTAAAAGCTCCGACTCTTTCTCCATATCTGTCGCAGAAGGAAGACCACCAACCTACGCTCTTAACATGAGTGACTTCTTCAGGCATGCAATCACCGTCGTTGGTGGAAAGATCTCGTAGTTGTTCCTTCGTCCAGTTGCCAATGGTCCCTCTTCAATCCAGACAACGTAATCTATGTTCCGATAAAGGCTCAAGGAGCCTGGACGAATTCGAAATAATTGACCAAAAAATCCTCCAGAATCTCAAACTGTCGTCTAAGTCTTGCCTTGGAATAAACCGTCGTTAGAAAAGTGATGCCGAGGACAAAGACAGGTGTGACACGAAAACTTCGCCTCCTCGAACCCGGATACCCAGTTATCGGCTCACTGTACCTGCGGATAGACGCAAGTAGCCACCGTCACCAACAAACTAGCAGAAGTCCTCCCTTCTGAGGTCAATATGAGATATACAACCTGATTACAGCCACGAACAATCAAAACTCTCGATGCGAATGCAGTGATTACGTATAATTTGGATCCAGAACGATAATTGTCGGAATTCAAAACCACGGACTATATCGAGAATCCTTAGATGAGATCAGCAGAACCTACGAGTACAGACATCCACGTCGTCACGCGAGGAAAGCAGGCGACTCATGACACTGTTTGACGTACGGAAGAGTGTAGTTTGGTTGAATTCTAATAAAACTGAAACTTTTAGTCAATTGTCAAGGTGGCCTTCTGAAGTTCTTCAAGAGCGAGGTTTGTATAGACGATAATTACACAGAAAGAATGAAAGGAGAATCTACTTCAGGGTTAGCATATATTTTTTAGATACCTTCTTCATATTACCAACCTAATTCCGCACGCACTAGATCTATTGTCATGAAACAAAAATCTAACTGTGAGAGTCTGTTGGACAACAGAAGCAAGGAGAAGTTGCCGTCATTTCTATTGAAAAGTTATATACTCGTTCATGTACATTTGAAGAACTCGAAGAAACACGACCACATTGATTCTCTTCAATGAGTGCATGAAGTTAAGAAATTCGTATTGAATCTATAACCCGGGTAGAGGCTCAACATGTTAAGTTTACGAAGCTTTCCGTAGAGAAGGGTACGGCATTTATATCCAAGTTACCACGGTGACACATGAAACCCCAATCATTCAAAAGACCCGTCTGATTCAACGTGGCCACTTATGATCTTCCACTAAGGACCACCAAGAAACTCCAAAAACGAACATACTCGGCCAGAAACGAAACTTCGATCAACCAACACCTGCACCTGATCTAGGAACTGCATACTCCTCAACCAGATGCCTGAGCCAATCGATCAGGATCAGACAACTAATAGTTCCAAACGCTCCTGGATTAAAATTCAAAAAAGAACGCACAATTCCTGCCTCCGCTTTTCGAACTGTTACAACACATAATCGACTCCTGCCTGTAACCGCAGGTTTCCAATGAGGCCGGCATTGCGCACTTACCCGAGAAGAAAAGATCAACGAATCACCTGCCTGACGCCGGCGCCCATTACATTACATGCCGGAGCCGCCAGATGCCAAACGCAAATACAAAAAACTTGGAATAGAGTTCAAAGACGTGATGTTCGTAAAGCAGCTGCTGGAAGGGTGCAGCAAGAGGATGAAGAACTCAAAGACGCCGGCAGAGACGAGTGGCGAGCGGCTTGAGAGAGAGAAGAGTAGAGAGAGGCAGGAAAGGGGAACAGAGGGGACGATCTATGCAGGCCAGCAGCTGTCACTCGCCCTACTCTACATGCTGAGCTTGCGGAGCAGCAGCCATTCAAGAGGCAGGAGCCATTCAAATCGCTTCTTATTTTAGCTTCGTCGAACTCTCTACACTCCCTTCTTCTTGCCAAGGCTGCCCAACGCGGGCAGGACACCTGCCCCCCCCATTCTCTCGATTACAATAATGCAGCCCCCTTCCACCAACCCTGCATAGGTTTCCGTAATTGTCCGTCAATTGTTCTCAGATTAAAGTTCATGATAAGCCTGCTCTCCGACCTGACCCGCCAAACCCCGGTTGGATCACCGGCATCGGCATTATCGTCAGATAAACCCTCTGGACTTTTTCGTTTCGTTTTTCTTTCCTTCCCTCCGATCCCAGTCGTATCTCAGTTTCAACAGAGCACTGCTGCATTGACGACTAGTCATCAGACCATGCCAACACGGAATGGAAGCAGAGATCCAACACCAGGAGCCATTCACAAGTTACCTGTGTAGGCTACCCGATATGGCGCGCATCAAAGGCTGACTCTACGAGAAAAAACCCAGAGACAAGCTTTCCCGTTGGATTCCATCACTACTAGATTGTGGGTGCTCTTCGGCGATGGGAACCACGTCCATCTACGCATAAATCTCACACCACGGTCTGATCTTAGTAGGGTTTAGGTTTCCGTAGACAAGCCAAACTCCAGTGGAAGTCAAACCTGCAGTGCACTACAACAGAGATGAAGATGGCGTAGTACCAAAGTGGGGAATTGGTATAATGGATGGTTTCTGTGGCTGGCGTCGGGACCAGCGGGGCCACGCATCGCCAGCTCGGAGCTGCTGCTTTATTGCTATTTGTGAGGTGAAGATGGCGACGAAACCCACAACGCGCGCGCGCAGTGGTCGCGGCGCTCGCAGCCCCAGCTTTCGTCACCCACACCCTCTCCGTGTCTGTGAAAGTGAGAAGCGTGTTTGAGAACCCCAGCTTTCTAATAGTAGCATGGTTGAGTTATTTTTATCATCCTGATCCAATGAAGATGATCCTCGAGCAAGTATTTTGACTTGCTACAACAAAGATTGCACAAGACACAATTGCGAAAAAACACTGCAACAGTTTGTCATTCAGATTTTGGAATCTCAACTACTACAAAGAGGTATGTATATAAAATTAGAGAAATAAGTGGGCTTGCTACTATTGAGTATGAAAAATTAGGATGTTTTGAATTGAGATCAGATTAAGGTATGATGAAGGTAAGATTGACGATGGCTTCAATCTTACCTTCATATATGCTAGCTAACGAGGTCATATCGAAACTTTCTAAGAATTATGTTTTATTTAAGGTTTAATATTGTAATTGTTATTATATTTTTTTTATTAGTCAAAATTAATCCATCTTAGTAACAAGCATGTTTTCCATTATTCTTGGAATCACCAAAGTACTATAGAAGTTAAAGATTAGTTTTCTTTAAATAGTAAATTTAAAAATATTTTTATTTTTTTTGTAACTTTTTTCCTAATTCTAATATTTTCTAAAAACACTATATGATTTTTTTCTTATTTCAAAATATTCCTTATAAATAGAATTATTATAAAAAATGTCAAATAAAAAATATTTTAAAAAGAAAGAAAGTTAATGCTAGTAGTGCTCCAACATTTTTTACTATTATATCCAATAATTTTAGTAATAAGTTTTAAAAAATTAAAGATATAAAGAACTTCTTTATCAAAAAAAATTACATAAAATAATAAGTATTTTTTTTAATATAAAGTATAATAAAGATAAAACAATACTTTTTAAAAATACACATAATAAAAAATATACGTTTGAATTTAACATCTAAATCTGTATTAAAGATGCAACTTATAAATAATATAAAGTTAAAATAACATTTGTTAAAAATATGCATAATAAAACTATACCATTTAAAATGCAAAGTATTTTTGTTAATTTTTTTGCATCTAATTATTTTGAAATATAAACGTTTCATTTATTTCAATTACACCTATTAAGAAATTTTATTTATAATTTTAAAAATTCAAATTCAAATTCATCATTTATTTTTATTATTTATTCTATTTTTAAAAATAATTAAAATATTTTTTATTAAAGATAAATTTTATAGTACAATTTTTAAAGAAAATAGTTAAAATTTGATCCAAAAAAGTTGATTAGATAAAATATTTTATTTGTTGGTTTTAAAAATAGATTTATAATTTTTATCTTAATTTTTTAATAAAATCAGTATTGATTATTGTTCATTTGAGATAATTATTATAAGAATTTTTTTAAATAATTCAATTTAAAAGTAAGATATAATGTTAAAAGATTCAATATCTATAAATGAAAATAAATTGAATTTAATAAAATCATTTCCATCACTTCTTTTATATCATTAAAGTTACAAATCTATAATTATTTAAATTTAAGCATTTACTCTCATATAAAATGTTATTAGTAAACTATCAATGCCAAACCAAATTGCTACAATGTTGAAAGAAATTTATTTTTTCCTCTTCAAATTCATAAAAAAATCCTCTTCAATTGTTACTATATACATACAATATTACTTCTTGTAAGTTATCTCCTAATATGTTATAATCTTTGATAAGTTTTGAAAAATTGAAAAATCGACTTGGTTACATTATGATTAAGTTATAATTCTTGTAAGTTATCAGTTATAGCTAAGGAAGAAAAAAAACAAAAGGCCATAACTTTGTAGAGGGTCTAAATAATAAAGAATCAAGCTTAGCCAAGAATATGCTCTATTAGAGGGCTTCTTTATGCAGCTTCTGGTGAATGTCATGAAGGATCATGTAGATAGCGTATTCACTCATATCTCTAATGTCCAACATAGAGATAACTACAAAAAGGCTTTGTAGCTTCTCTGTATACAAGAACAATGCTAGCCCACAATCTTCTTTGAACGTATTGTTAGCACTTTTACCTCCCTCTGCTTATTGATGACAAATAAGCTCAATAATTTTGTAATCATATAATTTGAAATGCACACTATTTTCTTTGATTGGATTGAGCAGGTTTTTAATTGACATTAGATTTTGTAATAGAAGATCTATCATGGACATATCTGTTTATTCCAATAATTATCTATATGATTAGCTGGACTAGGTGAAAGTAGGTTAATTTCATAATATCTTTTAGAAAAACTTCTCAGAAGCTTTATAGATGCTGCTTTGATTTTATACATGTTTATAGTGAATTGATAGATTAAAAACTTAATCAATAAGTTAGTCATGTGTGTTAGGGACATATTCCTTAGAACTTTCTAGAGAGAAGTTTCTAGAACCTTCTAGAAAACAAGCCTCTGGAACCTTCTAGAAGAGAAGCCTCTGGAACCTTTTAGAGAGAAGTTTCTAGAAGCTTCTAGAAAAGAAGTCTCTGGAACCTTTTAGAGAGAAGTTTCTAAAAGCTTCTAGAAAAGAAGTCTCTGGAACCTTCTAGAAGAGAAGTTTCTAGAAGCTTCTAGAAAGGAATCCCCTGGAACTTTCTAGAAGCGTCCTAGTTAATAGAAGTAGCTTGAGAAGTTTTTAGAATCTTCTAGAAAAGAAGCCTCTGGAACCTTCTAGAAGCTTCCTAGTTAATAGAAGTAGCTCGAGAAGCTTCCTAAGTAGGAATATATATAGGGATCGAGGCTGAAGAGTTCTTCAGTCTCGACAACACATCTCTTGGAGTTCTAGCTCACCTTTCTGGTATTGTTCTTGTACTCATCTGATTAATCTAGTTCTGCCACTTCTTCTTGAACTTCTTGTTAGATTTCAAGTCTGTATTTTGTGTCCGTGACAGTTTGTCGAGACTACACTAACTTGAGATATCAGAGCTAGTTCTTTCTTAGTAGAGTGTGGATTACCCCTCTACTTGAAGGTATACTAGCATTTTTTAGAGGTTGCGGATTACCCTCTTCTAAACTGCTACTTCTTCTGTTAGAAGATTGGAGTCTTATTCTTCTTGAAGAGAGTGGATTACCCCTCTTCTTGAAATTCTTAAGGCGTTTTATAGGTTGTGGATTACCCTCCTATAAACCAATATTGCCTCTTATAGGGTCATTTTTGTCCTTCTTTTAGAATGGCCGGAGGTCAAGACATTAGTATGACAGAAAGTTCGGAGTCTAAGTTAGATGCTATTATGAATGCCCTCGCTACGTTATCACAAAGAACTGCAGAGATTGAAGGAGTGGTGGCAAGGCTTCATAATGATGGAGTATCTGGGATAGCACAATCTAAACTACACCACCCCCAAATTTCGACACTTGGAGAAACAACTTTACCTCAGGTTCGACAAGAACCACTAGTTCTACAACATAAGGAGCCTCGAGTTAGCCTTCCAAATAAGTTTGATGGAACACGTTCCAAGTTTCGAGGATTCGTCAATCAAATCAGGTTGATAATAGTTTTACAGCTCGAACGATATCCAACGGAGGAGTCACGTGTTGGGCTTGTTGGAACCTTACTTACGGGACAAGCTCTATCATGGTTTGCTCCTTTGTTTGAGAAACGATCATCCATATTAAACAACTTCGAAACCTTTTTGGAAGCATTTGCGGAAGCATTTGGTGAACACGATAAGGTTCGATGGGCTACAACAAAGATCCGGTCGCTACGATAGGGGATGCGTTCTACATCAGTCTATGCTTCGAATTTCAGGCAATTAGTATGCGACATCAATTGGGATGAAGAAGCGTTGATGAGTCAATTCTATTGGGGTTTAAGAGATGATGTGAAGGATTTGCTGTTAACTCTTCCTGATCCACGAACGCTCAATGAAGCCATTAGCCAAGCTGTGAAGTGCGATAATCGCCTATTCCAACGTCGCCAAGACCAACGCTCAAGACAACATACAATTCGCCATGCTCCAACTATGTCGGCAAGCGGTGTGAATTTGCATTCAGAGGTGGAAGACATGCAAATTGATGCGGTACGTATCAAATCTCTTACTATAGAAGAAAAAAAGCGACGTATGGAGGAAAATTTATGCTTGTATTGC